TAACAATTTTTCCAAATTTTTACACCTTCATATCAATATAAATTCGTGAAAAATAGTATCCATATAATTAAAATTCCCAAACATTTTACATTACTTCCACTAAACATACTTAAGCTGGGAAAAAAAATATTAAAATGGGTTTCTATACAGTTTATCCCGATTTTATGATTTGTGTGCATTTATTCTAACAAATATGGAAATAAATAGAAGACAGTTTCGAAAATTGCCCAAACTTTGCTTAACATTGTTATTAAAAATATAAAAGCTATGGAAAATATAAAAGCTATTTTTCAATTAGGTTTTCTACTTTTCTTTGTTTTATTCTCTTTAATAATCATTAATTGGTGAATAATTATCAAATAGTTAAAATAAATTACCAAAATTTTTGTAAGCTTCATTTACAATGTAGATAATCCGAGAAAAATACCACTGATGATTTTTATACTGTAATACGATTTTGTGGATTTAAGTATATTTAATCTTAGAAAATAGGAGAAAAATAGTATACTGAATAGAAAAATCATCAACATTTTTATTTAGAGTTCTACTATATTCTAAGTTATTATGGTAAATTCGCAGCTTATACTATCTCTGCAAGACTTAGAAAAATATTTTTAGAATTTTTCAAATTGTATTCCTATTTTTCTCTGATTTTTGTATTTATAATGGACTAAAAACAGGAAAAATAGATTTACTCATCCAAAAATTATGAAAATTTACCAGAACACCTTTTATTACATTAGGATGCTACATACAAATTTTGATGATTTTTCTCTTCTGTATACTATTTTTCTTCTATTTTCCAAAGACTAAATACACTTAAACCCAATTTTTATTAGAATAAATACACAAAAATCATAAAATTGGGATAAATAGTTTAAAAATTCATTTTTATATTTTTTCTAGCTTAATAATGACTAATAACAGTGTTACAAAAATTTTGGGCAATTTTGGAAACTATTTTCTATTTATATCAATTTTTATTAGAGTAAATGCTCAAAAATCATAAAATTGGGTTAAATAGTTTGGAAATCTATTTTTATATTTTTCCCAGATTAATAATGTGTAATAACAATAGTATAAAAAGTTTGGATAATTTTGGAAACTGATTTCGATTTATCCCCATTTTTATTAGAATAAATGCATAAAAATCATACAATTGGGTTGAACAGTTTAGAAACCGATTTGTATATTTTTCCCAACTTAATTATGTGTAATGACATTCCTATAAAAAGTTTGGGGCATTTTCTAAACCGATTTCTATTTTTCATGAATTTTTATATATTTAGAGAATTAAATATATGCAAAATGGTTATGCATATCCATAATCCATGAAAATTTATATAGAAGTTTTTTAAAACGTTTAGAACCAAAATCTGAAGTTTGGTAATTTTTATTAATTGTTTAGTATTTTTCATGATTTTATAATTATTCAAGAAACTAAAATGATGAAAAATAGTTAGACAAATCAAAAATTCAAGAAAATTTATCTTGAGGTCTTTGACTTCAATTAAAATTGAAATGCAAAGTTTGAGAAATTTTAGAACTAAATTGATTTAGTTTTGAATATTTAATCATTGGAACACCTCTTAAAATGTTAAATATTAGCATTTCAATAATGGGAATTTTCCACTTAAATTGGTATACAGCAATTGATTCATTGAGATTAAATTTTCATAGAAAAATGTTTGTAACTTATCTATATTAAATTTTGACACAATATTGGCATAATTCTATTGTAGTAGTATGTATACTAGCGTTAGATTTCGATTAGAGACTCACTAGCGAATACCATTATTGTAGGAATCGATAGTGGTACGAGTGGAGCGTAGTCAAGGCACCATTTGCATCATCTCAATGCATATTGTGAGTATTCACCACTCCCCCTATTTTCGGTTTTTAAATGTTTTGGGGTGGAAAAGCATGTCCTAAACTATTATTTATGTTCGTTATATTTAATTGACTCAGATAAACTTGATTACTATATTTTGCATATCGTGAGTATTCATGTACTCCCCTATTTCCGGTTTTTATGTTTTGGGGTGGAAAAGCATGTCCTAAACTATTTATATTCGTTGTATTTATTTGACTTGTATAAACTTGGTTGCTATATTTTGCATATTGTGAGTATTCACACACTCCCCTATTTTGAGTTTTTATGTTTTGGGGTGGAAAAGCATGTCCCGAAAAACTATTATTTGAATGTTGTATTTAAATTGATTTGTATAAAACATTATTGCTATTTTATTGCTATATCTCTCTATGTATGTCTATGCAACATGGAACATGAGAACTTATCGTATTAAGGCCCTTCCCTTAACTCTAACCATTAACTCTTTGAGCCAATGGTCATTATGGATAATACTATTAGGAATTGACAACTCCTCACTCGCCCTATTGCTGGAGTGCATGATACCATATTCATCTATGTAACGGTAAGCATAGATCTTGATAGGGCTTCAGTCATAGGTTTGGTTGAGAACTCATTGTTTGCTCATACACATACAAACTCGTTACTCATTATAGCAATAAAGTTGTTATTTATTATGGCAATAAACTCGTTTATCAAATATAGCAATCAACTTTGTTTCTCATTATAGCAATGAACTTTGTTTCTCATTATAGCAATGAACTTTGTTTCTCATTATAGCAATGAACTCTATTTCTCATTACATCAACGAACTTTTACTACTGGAAACTTATATACATGTTTTAACAATGAAATTGTTTGCTCCTTGTAGCAACGAAATTGACAGTTCATTTTAGCAATGAAACTTGTTTACTTGTTTGAGTAACGAACTTTAACTTCCATGAGAATATGAACGTTGCATCTCATTTGGGCAACATACTTTATCTCTCATGATGACAAAGAACTTTGTTTTTGTACAAACTTATTTTCTCAATTTAACAATATACTTTTATTATTGGAAACCTTATCAAAACATTGATTTCAATTCATGGAACCAATATTATTTTGTTTATCTGTGAGTACTCACCAACTATTTTTATAGTTGACGCTCGTTTTACATGCTTTTTCAGGAATCATCAAGTAGGTGGCACTTAGGGACACTTCACTTTTAGGAGCATTCGCATGTGTTGTATTTCTATTTTCATTGTAATTTCTTTTAAAAGTTGTCCAAACCCATTGTAAATTTGTAATGATATTTAATACTATAGTTGGTGTTGTCTTTTAACTTTTGCTATGAAATCGTTTATACTGTCACGCCTCGTGTTTCCGCTTTAGCGGGGTGTGACATTTTCGAACTTCGGTCCGATGCAGTGGGCAAGGCCCAGTATGTGATTTATATGTATTGTATGGTATGTGGTAGTTTGGGGAGCTCACTAAGCTCCGTGCTTGCAGTTTCAGTTTTGGTTTCAAGTACTTCCGCAAGTAAAGGGAAGAACTCGGAATGATGACATCGCACACACCACAACTTCAGTTTTTGTCCTGGGAGTTTGTTTTGATACTTAGTCTGATTTGATACAGTTGTATCACGACATTTATTATGGCTTGAGATATTTGATGTATGGTTTTTATAATATGACGTTCAGTATATGATTTTTTTTATTATTATTAAAACAAAATTTTTGGGTCGTATTTTGGAATGTTACGTTAACCCCATTATTTATCTGCCAAAAATCCCCGGTACATAAAATAACAAAACTCATAATTTTTTTCAAAAAAAAAATGTAACACTAAAACTGATCGATCTAATATGCAAATGCAGCTAAAAATGGAGAAAAAAAACTGTATTTCAAGAAAACCATGGCAAATAACCATTCTGTAGAGACATTAATCTCTCCATGGAACTCCTCGTTAGCTACTCTGCGAAGGGATTTATGACCTGCCAAAAACTCCCTCCTTGGAGGGGTTAATGTCTCCGCAGAGGACCCTGCGGAAGGATTTTTTAAACAATGAAAAATGAAACTTTTTATGATTCCGCGGAGGTCCGTAGAGGACCCTCCGCGGAATCCATGTCTATAATTGAAAAAGACATTTTTTATGATCAAATTATAAAATTGCCGGCAGATTTTTTGTCTATTGGCGGAATTTAATTAAGGCATGTTGTATACAAAATTTTCCCTATCTTACATGGTATTTTGCAACGGAATAGATTTTTGGACAGATACAGCAAAGTTATACGCTCATTTTTTGAGCAGGCAAACATAGTTAATTAAGGCATATATACGATCCATTACATTTTTAATTCTCATTTTGCAAGCTGGAAAATTAACGTTGTTAAACTATAGTGCTATGGTAGTTTTCTATAATAAAAATAATAATAAAAAAAACAGATAGCAAAGAAAATTTCGTAGCACCTGCTATTAAAATAATATAAAAGCACATGCTGTTAATTAACCAAGGTTTGTTAAACGAGAGAGAGAGAGAGAGAGAGAGAGAGAGAGAGAGAGAGAGAGAGAGAGAGAGAGAGAGAGAGAGAGAGAGAGAGAGAGAGAGAGAGAGAGAGAGAGAGAGAGAGAGTTGACCAACACTTTATGTTCTATATATTGCTGCACAACAATGGATGCAACTTATATCTTTCAAGCACTTCAACCTTAATTCTTTGAAAATCTTGTTTCCTACTCTCCTTTGATCATCAAAATAATGTCTGCACTAAATCAGTTTGAACACCTCAGAATACCACTAGAAGATATAAGATCAGCAACCAACGACTTTTCTGAAGTCAATTGCATCGGAGCAGGAGGCTTCGGTAAACTGTACAAGGGAGTACTTTTCCTTTCGGGGGAGCCTATTACAGTTGCTGCAAACCATTTAGATCGTACATCGGGGCAAGGAGACGCCGAGTTTTGGATGGAAGTCACGATGCTTTCATCTTACAAACATAAAAATATTGTCTCCCTCTTGGGGTTTTGTGATGAGAAAGGTGAGAAGATCCTAGTATATGAGTATGCTTCTAACAACAGTCTCGACTTGCATCTTGATAGCAAAGATCTAACCTGGGTTCGACGCCTTAGAATATGCATCGGGGCAGCTCGCGGACTGGAGTACCTTCATTACTCTGTTGGGGCCCAACATAGAGTACTACATCGTGATATAAAAAGTTCGAATATCCTATTAGATGAAGACTGGAATGGCAAGATCGCAGGTTTAGGTCTATCAATAATTAGTCCGGCTAATATACCAAACACCTTTCTTATAACCAATAGCATTGGCACGTATGGGTATACTGATCCTGAATATATGAAGACCGGGGTACTAACAAAAGAGTCAGACGTTTACTCTTTTGGTGTGGTGTTGTTTGAAGTTTTATGTGGGAGGTTATGCTACCAGATCAATGATAAACCTCGACAATCACTTACCAAACTGGTAAAACAGTATTACAAACAGAACAAGCTGAATGAAATTATTTGGATTGGTATAAAGGATGAAATAAACCCTGCTTCTTTGAAGGCCTTTGCAACAATTGCTTATCAATGTTTGAAAAGCAAACGAGAAGAGCGTCCATTAATGGCGGATGTCTTGACTAATCTTGAAAATGCACTCACATATCAAGTACGCTCCTTTTTTTCCCTTTTACCCGTTCATTTTGTTTTTATTTATAATAGCCATAATCTATGTTTTTTATTATTAATTTCATGAAAACTAAAAATAGAAAGATATGCTTAAAACATCTTATATTGCTTTATAATTATAATTGTAATATATATGAACAGAAAATAATGTTATTTGGCTTAGTAAATTACACAAATGATGAAATTTACAACTTTAGTTCTTTTTTTTTTCTGAACCGTTAGTAGTTACAAATTAGTATTCAGGAAATCGTCAAGATATACAACTTAAAAGTCAAAGCCTATGCAAGTGAGCTAGTCCCACATCAGCTACACCTTAAGTTTTGTTTGTATTTTTCATACAAGCTCCACATTTTTAGTATGTCCTATCAGCACCAAATCATTTTTCACTCATCCTCACCTCACCTACAAAACTAATTAATAAGAAATGACTTAACACCCACCATCCACCATGCTTTTTAATTTTTAATTTCATACATAAATTACATGTATGTGCACAAAAAGCAACAACAAATACATCGTCTGGTATGGTATACTTTTTCCATAACATCAACCCACCCCAACCCTAGGCGGTGTCGTGTTCACCTAAGGTCGACCAACCCACCCCAGGCTGTGGTTTGGGTCCATACGGTTTTGTCATATTGTAATTATTGGTTGATTTTGTTATGTTTATTTATTCTAAATTGAGTCCTAGATCATTGTTTTTTTCACTTTTCCCACTTTTGTACTTTTATTATTGTATACCATATTAGCCACTTTATATATAATATAATAAATATAATACCCACCTCTTTTATGTTTGTTGAACTACCTTTTGGCTTTTACCCATACTATGTATAAACGCTTTGTTTATAGCGCCGACACCGGTGACGCCAGCTGGATTATGGCTTGTACAACTACATTCAATTTTGGATTTTTGGTCTAATTAAATCTTTTAATCGTTTTAAAAACCCAAGTTGACTACTAAGATAAGGCAATATATTGATTCCCACGGTGAAGTACATATAATTTGTCCCTTAATTTACACACGGTTGATCAACCCAAAACATTGGCAAAATTTTCTTTCTGCACACAACGGTAACATGTATGAATATCCAATAGGGGTGAACATTTGGATTGGATTAGATCGTACCGGACCGAACTGACTCTTGGACTAGACCGGTTTGTGAGAATATTGTGGACCGTTGACCGGACTGGATGAGACTTACCGGTCCAGGTCCGGGTTTTCTAGTTTTTGGAACCGTTTAGACCGTTACAGTTTTAAATATATATGGTATAACTTGTTTAAACGTGTTTTTGGATTTGATACATTACAACTCGTTAAAATAAATATTTTTTTTGGGTTTGATACGGTATAATTTGTAAAAATAAATATGTTTTGGTTTCTTGTGTCCTTTGAACCGATCAAACTTTGATTGTTTATTATTTATATCATTTATATGAAGTATTGTAACTCATTGAATATAACATTAAAAACAACTAAATTATTTTGTAAACTCATCTACAAACTCTAAAGTACATGTTGAAAAAAACCACATGTCAATTTGACTTAAAACAAATAAGATATACTTATTTAAAGAATTTCATAGATTACAATAAAGAATTTCATACATTACAAAAGCTTTAATTTCTTGCAAAAAAGTTGAAATATTCAAGCTTTGATATTTCATTTTTGAAAGATTCTAATTCAACGAATATAACACCAAAAACAATAAAATTATAGTCTAAAATAATCAACAAATTCCAAACTATATGTTGGAAAAAACTGCATATCAATACGACTTAAAACGAATTAGATATTCTTGTTAAAGAATTTCACATATTACAAAAGCTTAAATTTTTTCAGCTTCGATATCTTATTTTAGAAAGATTATAACTCATCAAATATAACACTAAAAACAACAAAATTATAGCCTAAAATCATCTAAAAACTCTAAACTACACGTTAGAAAAAAACCAAATGTCAATCCGACTTGAAGCTAATGAGATGTACTTGATTTAAAATTTTCATAGAATACAAAAGATTAAATTGATTACTGAAAAGCAGAAATATTTCATCTTTGACATCTCATATTTGAATGATTGTAACTCATCAAATATAATACCAAAACCAATAAAATTATAATCTAAAATCATATACAAAGTCTAAATTATACGTCGGCAAAAAAAACCTAATGTAAATCCGACATTATACTTTTTTACAGGATATATATATATATATATATATATATATATATATATATATATATATATATATATATATATATATATATCCTGTAAAAAAGTATAATGTCGGAAACCAATTTTTACCTGGAACCGACAGGAACAAGCCGGTTTTGCTCAAATCTTAAAACCAAGAACGGACCAGGAAGCCCAAAAAATTTGTACCATCCGATCCGATCCACAGACCAAAATGATTAACCCTAATATCATATATCTATAGGTTTAATGTGTGCTTTTGTGGGTATGTGAGTGTGAGTGTGTGAGATTTGAAGATTAAGATTTATGTACTTTAAATTATGTTATTAGTGGAATGAATTTCGTAGATTAAAGCCAGGCGATTATGATGACAAAAATTTCATGATTTGATGGATTTGAGATGGAGATGAAGATGTTGGTGATTTGAATGGTAAGGCGATAATGATGACAAAATCATTGAATTTATGAACTTCTTCATCTTTCTCTATCACCTTCTTGGACCATCAAAGCTTTGGAAATTAACAAACACATTGACGAATGTTGTCAATTGTTAGAATATAAACGATTGGCTGACGATGTATCCCTTTTCTTCATTTTCCATTAGAGTATACGGTGTGGGTCACAACGAGAAACGAATTGGCTGAGTTGGTACACGAAAACGGCGTCACGACGCGGGGAACACCGCCCCAACTCGTTGAAGCTTGTTATGTTGGATGTTGTGGTAACAAGGAAGAGATAAAACAAGAAAGATGATTGGCTATCTCCTTTATCAGCCAATCAAATAATCTTACATACTTATAAAGCTTGCATTTTTCCTTGATTGTCATGCATTTGAAACCCCCCACAATAATTTGCTAAAATCTCATGCATTTGAAACCCCCAAACCTTTTCACCTTCTTAATAATTAATCACACATAATCAATGGAAATTCATATGAGATAATAATTTGCTAAAACCTCATGCATTTGTATGGTATTAGAACATGTTTGAGTTTTTGGGTTTTAGACTATAGTAAATGGGTAAACCGTTTGATACGTTGGATTTGAAGCTATTTTATTCGAATTACCCAAAACAAGAGATAAATTAATAATATATGTTCATGCATGTTTTGTAAAAGCCCCAATCAAGATACTATATATCATGATCATACAATTAAGTGTCTTTTATTTCATTTTTGGCTTTATAACAAAAGTTTGTTTACGTGGCGAAGAAAGAAAACTTGAAAATTAATATTTAGGTTGGATGTTTATATAAGATTTGTTTCAAATATATAATATAGATATAAATACACAAATGTGTGTCAAATACAACCCATCACAAATTTAATGTTATAAACTACAATATAACTCAAAGTGGTTTTCCAAATATAATGTTTATACTATAATATAATATATTAGAAGAATACCATATATTAGACGAATCCCACATGTTGTGCAGAAATTTAGTTGTATAGATAATATATTATAATTATATTTCATTTAAAATATGTTAGGGTCATTTGGTTATTACATTGTTGTATTAGGCACTATAGTCTCATATATTTTGAATGACTCTTACAAAAATAATGTCTGTAATTTGAATATAACCTAATATCTTATGATGTTTATTGAATGATATTATCTTCAATTGAGCACTTTTTAATTGGAATCAACTTTATTATAGTTAAAAATTTTGGCTCCATTTTTTCTTTTCCTTAGTTCTAGAATATGATTTTTGATATTAACTTAAAATATGTCACTATCTTAAAATAGATTGAGAATGAGATTTTTTAAATTTACTTAAAAAATGGCACCATTTTTTATTTAATAGTAAAACTAATAAAAATCGTTAAATATGTATTTTTATGAGGTTCAACATAAATAGACGATCATAAATGAGAATTCATATCTAATCAATCATCAACTAATTACATTAGATACTAATGTGTACATAAAAATTACATTTAAAATTTTAAACTAATAGAAAAAAAATTCATTATTTATTATGATAAAAAATCTATAAATCAAAAAATATACATGCTATTTAATCGCATACAAATTTTATGTATGACTTATTCACAATACATTAAACCATATATTACCATATTAAACTACATAATTATCCCACTGCACAACGCGCGGACATTCGCCTAGTTTTATATATTTTCTCTCTCTACCTCTTAACATGGTATAACACGTGGAACACCATTTCCCCCTTGGTGTTATGGATGAGGTGGCACCAATTTGGTGTTAGATCCAGTTGTCCACACCCAATGCTCTTACAAAAGAAAAAAGAAGAACATATTTTTTCGGCCTAATCAATTCCATTCGCTTTTCAGAAAGAAAAAAAAACATAAGAACAAGACAAAAATAAAAAAGTTTGCTATTATATGTTACTAAATGTACCTATTAAATAAAACTTAACTAACCCCTAATTATCCTCTAATACCAATTACATCAAAAAAGGTTTTCACTTTTTTTTAAAATTTTTTGTCAACTTGTTGTATTTTCTTCTTCTTCTTCTTCTTCTTATTATTATTATTATTATTATTATTATTATTATTATTATTATTATATAATTTTTAATAATATGAATTTTTTAATATTTTTTTGTTTTGTAAAAAATACGTTAAGATTTTATACATATGTTCAAATTTAAAGAGTCATTCGAATTTCAACTTTAACAACATATTCGAAAAATGATTCATGCTTTGGATACCATGTTTGTACTCAATTATCTGATCCGAGTCTTAAGCGAATGTTAGGTTATCTCAACCGAATATGGTTAGATGAATTCAAGAAAATA